AGGATTGTGGATGGACATGTGGATGGAGTATGTTGTCAAAGGATGAGGTTGAAGATGGTGGTGGAGGTGTTGATGAAGCTCTCTTAGTGTATTTCTTACAAAATATAGTAAGTTCTTTGCCATTATATTGTCACTATTCTCTTTCACATATGGTTTCCTTCATGTAAAAGTTCTGCATCTCTTATTGGGACTTGCTACGTGCCAGATTCTGTTCTCAGTCTCTCACCAGCAAGGCTACAGGACGGCACAGCTCTGACACACAGCCATGTCCTCACATCCACAGGCAACGCGAGGCACAAGCTGTCGTTACAAGGGAGACAGTCAAACCAAGCAAAAGCAGTGTAGACAGAAGCGTGTTTGCTGAAAGGGGAGCCTGGTGTGTTCTGTTGGCCTGCCGGGAGCGGACCAGCAGGGTCATGAAGCAGCCTCCACAGCACTGGACTGCCTCCCGCAGCCGCAGGAGCTCTTCTTGGACATCAGCTGGCAGCAGCATCAGTTTCCATGTGCAATAGGAAAAACCGGAAAAATAAACACCTCCTCCACCTGTGGACCCTACTTTATTTCACAACACTAAAATTATTGCTTTCAACTCAAGCCAAAGATGAGCTCTGATCATAAAGGTCGCAGTCTTAGCTGGGTACTTGCACTGAGCTTGTCCTCACTGGAAATTGACTGGAAATTGACCCAAGTGAGTAAGCAGGGCATTTCAGCTGCCTGTGCCTTGTGCACAGACCACAGCAAAAAACCAGAAGCAAAACAAAGTTGAATAGGGGAATGACTTGCTTTTTCAAGACTTCTGATTAAGTTTAAGGAATAATTTTTGAAAAATCCATAAAACAGAGGCAGTTTAAAAACTCTTAGTCAAAATTTACAAGATAAATTTCCTAAAATATTTAAATTTTCAATTCTTCAGTTTTGATTAACATTTTTTCTCAAAGTCCTCTGTAATCAATTTTATGATTAAAATACATTTAATTTGTTTTCTAAAAAAAATCAAAATCTTAAAGAATCAAGGTGTCTGATATCCTTTAGAAAGTGGCATCACTCGAGAGCTGAATATTGGCAAACACCAAAGCTTTTTCTAGCAATTCTATTCATGATGGCTTGTGCTATACCTGTACCCTTTCAACCTAGCAGGATACAAAAGCAGGTATGTCCACACCAAACACTTTTGGTGACCACTGTGTCCCCTGGTGTGACACATGGCTTCCTGCTTCCATGTGGCTGTTAACAGAAGTTGCAAGGTATGGTGTGGTAATAGCACCTGAAGGAGGTGATTCTAATCCTCTACATCATAAACAGCACTGTAAACCAATGTTTCCTCAATTAAAAAAAGGGGGAATCTGAAAAGGTCAGTCATTTTGAGTTATCATATATCCTTAGATTTGTACTTTGGTAAGGAAATTAGAAGAATAAAAAGCAGCAGATCACACTGTGTCATCCTGCACACACGCTTTCAATAACCGTGCCACCAGGAGGGAAAGTCGAGCAAAAACGGAAAACACCAACGGGGTTTCAAAACAACCCAGAAATGATTGAATTGGCCCCACTAAGTGGTGGTTGACAGGGATCAAGGAAGGGGCAATCCCTGTCTTTTTGTCATTTAACTATGACTGGAATGCAGCTAAGCATCGTTCATTTCAAAATTATCCAGGTAAGACTTGATGGAGAATAACTGACTCAGTTCTGACCAGGCTGTGTCCTAAATGACCTGTTAATATCCTTTTACCTCTTTCATGACAGTAATGAAAGCAGGCCAAATAGAGACTCCCTTAGCTATAAAATGGAGTGCATCATAAAATAACTATAAAGTCAATATTTAGTGTTAGTTCCATTTAAAATGTCACACTTTGGAAATGTCTTAATGTGACTCATGGGAAGCAGGCAAACAGTTCTGGAGGATGGGATATTACCTCGTCAGCCCATAGCCCTGGTGAGACCAGCTTAGGAATGGGTTCTTCTGCTCTGTTTTGCGTGAGCTAGGGGGTGACGAGGGGTCGAGATGGGAGCAGTGAAAGGAAAGGTGAAGACAAGAGACAAAAGAAAAAGAAGAGCTATAAATGGTTATCAAGTATTTGCTAAAGTTCAGCTTCCTTTATTCGTTTGTTTCCATCTCCCCTACCACCTTTCCTTCTGCCATTTAGCTTCTTGTCAGACATGGGAGCAGCCCTTTGAGATGAGGATGTGGAGACCAGAGCTCAGGAGGCAAGAGGAGTAACATGGGGAGGATAGAGTACCCTGGGTGGTGATATTTTTTTGCTTCTCTGAGATAATATCAATATGGGTGGTACTATGTGCATGTTCCTTTGATGGAAGTTTTCTCCCAAGTGGATTCATTAATTAGGATGTTGACACATCCATGGCTCAGATCCCCCACAGTAGAGGTGATAAGATCAGTCCTCTCTAGTCCCACAGGCTTGTTTCTGACAGCTCTACCTGAGGTCTGTGTTTGGAGTAGAAAATTATCAAGGGTTGTCGTAGCCACCAGACATCCAGTTCTCCCAGAGCATGGGGAGGGAAACTGGACTGATGGAGATTGGAGAGGAATAAATGGATGGGCTGAACCTATTTATGGAGCTTTTGTTTGTCAGGCACTATTGTTTCCATGCTGTGTTGAGATCTTTCTGAGAGTCCAAACCCCTAGCACCTTGTCTTCAAGCACTATCACCCTACGGAGCTCCTGAATCATATCATTGCTGCTTCTCACCACCGAGTTAATTAAGGACTATTAACAAAGAAGCTCCTTCCATTTCCCACAACCTCAGTTTAGAATGCTCTTAAAATTCTCACCCCTCTCTTTGTGCCTTTGATGTTATAATCTATAAAAACCTTTAACTAGTTTTCATGGTTTCGCCACCAAATCAATATGTAAGCACCCCAGAGAAAATTCCCCTGACTTCTCCCTAGAGTCTCCCAAATTTCCCTCTGCTCCCCCTCCCCCACATCATTCCATGCTTAAAAACAATCATCCAACAAGCAACAGGCATGGAAGTGAGTAAATGCTCAGAGAGGTGCCTTGTGAGCTGATTTAAACACAGAATGACAGACCTGCAACCAAGACACAATATGGTGAAGAATGCTGTTAGAACACGCATGCACATGGTAAGAAACAGAAATTAGTTGAAATGGCTGGCCATGCAATTATGAGGAAAGAAACTGCCGAGGAGAATAAAAAAGTGTGAATACCTGTGTAGGTCATAGCTTCCTCCATCTTTATTTCCTGATATAGAGAAATACAAGAGTAATTTGTTAGCTTTAGAACACACAAAACCATTCACTATGTAGTTGTCCACGTACAACGTCTAAATCCTAGAAAGAAAGATGTTGTGTTAATTACACACAGAGCTGAAGTCCAGCAGTGTTTTTCTATTAGACAGGTTCAAAATGAGGATTGAAAACTAAAAATAAATGTTTAAGAGCAAACGCAGTAAGAGTACATGAAAAATAGGTGATGATGTGAAAGCAGGAGTCCATTTAAAACGGTACTTTCAGAAGTCCATGTACATCTGAGTAAAAGTGAAGTTTTGGTTATTTTTAGACAAAACACCTGAAAAAATAAACTGACAATCATCTCTCTTATGAAGGGTCTAGAAGGTGGGCAGGACTACTGAAGTGTAGCAGCAATAACTGTTTCCACCTGGTGGGTCCTCTCATCATCACAGACTATCAGGCCTCACTAGGGAGAGTACTTATGTTGTCACCAATAAGAGAGCAATGTTCTTTGGGGGAGAAATATCTGGGTGTAATATTTCTAGTGACTCTTATAGTTGGTTTAGTTTCTAGGACTCAGTGGGATGTCTTTTTTGTGGGGGAGGGGGTAAGATTCAAGGAAAAGATGAACAGATAAGCAGGATATTTGAAAAGATTTGAGCTGAGGGAGGTCAGTGACCAAAAGACCTATTTTCCAAGTCAAGCCTGAACTTGTCTGGCTGGCAGTGAATTCCACGGAGTGTTAACTGAGAAGTGTTGACTGATAGCTGAGAGTTTCTTATGAAACTCTTATAAACTGAAAGGCTTCAGGACCCTACCATGGTGGAAATGACAGGTGGTGATGGTGATCGCTTTGGGAGGCCCCCACCCCGTGTCTAGTTCTGTGACCCAGGAAGCCACCTATTCTATTGCTGGTGATGCTGGCTTTGCAAGGGACCCACAGAGACACAGGCTGTGAAGGACACTGGGAAAACTCAGCTGCACCATAAAATGCTCCTGCAAACTGCTTCCCACTTCCCGTGAGTCCAGCTCTTCACCCTTTTGGTGTTGGCATGCAGTGCCAAAGCTCTTGCCAATGACAGTTCTTTCTTCTTCCATGGACAGCTGGTATTTACATTTCTATAGGAATTATAAGAAAATAAGTATTCTCGCTAGCAAGGAAAGAGTTAGGACAGATCCTGACAAGGAACTGCATCCCCATGAGCCAAAGCAGAAAGTGCAGACTAGGTAGGGAACGTCTGGCTTACTTCATGTAGGCCCTCTTCTTATACTTTTATATCCCAATATAGTGAATTGCTCAAATATCTCTAGTTTCAGATGGGAAATTCTGGCAAAAGAAATCTAATTCACTGTGTCGTGGGCAGGAATCCAACTGGGAGAGCTCCAAACTGTGATAAGCACAAATAAGGCATTGTGTGTTTCTGTCCAAATTGTATTATAAAAAAAAAGGATATCCTGGTTTACCTAGAGTGTATCTTATGGCTGTTGACAGCAATAACAAATAAATCCCCAAAGCTTACATCCCATCTTTCAATGGATGCTTCTATGAGAAATCAAGCATTGCTAAAAGGACAGACCTGGGGACGATATTGGAATGAAACAATTGCCAAGCCCCTAAAATTTTCATGAATGCACCCAGAGTTAAAGTTAGAGAACAAATTATGTTTGGAAAGTTTCCCCTATAAGCATTTCAGACTTTCTATGCATATATATGTTTCAAAGGGAGAAAGCTTGACAACAGGAAGAATTTTCCAGGTAATATAAGAAAAATTTTTTTTTTTCTTCCTTACCAGATTCAAGGCCCTTAGGTCTTGGGTTGCACTGCTTATACCCTTGACAACTTCTGAGCTCCATCAGTTGTACATGTAACTGATTCAAAATGCCCCGTTCTACTGTATGCACTGTATTTGTAAGCTGTAGACGAAAAGCCAGAACAATACATTGAAGCTCATGCTCTGGTTATTCTATATTCAATACCCTTCATAAAAATGAAAACATATTGACTCACCTGATAAGGATCTGTATTCATATCAAAATATTCCAAAAAACCAGTGGCAAATTCGCAGAACAGAAAATTATGTGTCTCATTAACTGTACGTAAACACCAGTAGGTGTTATTATTAGAACTCGTACAAGCACAGAAAGATCCCACTGTTATAAAAACAAAACAAAACATAGAAACAAAAAGAATGAGAAACATGTAAGTAGGCTAGACATTTCAGTATTTCCTCATCTTTAGACATTTTCCATTTCCATTTTCTTCCCTGCAAATATTGTGTATGTAGTTAGATGTTAAAAATAACTATGTTTTCTCCTCTTCTGATACAAATTTGCTCTGAAACTAGGTGAAAGTGGAAAAAAACATAGCCATCTATGATTCTGATTATAGATTGAAGGCTCAAGTGAAATTTCAGGCACATTAGTTTGCCTGCTTGTAACCATGTGAGCCAGTGGTCTGCAGAACAGGATGATTGACTAGAGAGTGCGAAAGAATATATTAGAATGTCTATTAATGGTTATTTTTGACTTTGTTAAGGAAGGAGAAAATATGGTTATTTGATAAAGAGATGGACTTTGTGCCTTGCCTTATTCTTTATATTAGAGGGTCATACATCACTAATGGCACAAGGAAAGACAGATTCCCCAGTGTGGTAAAGTCTGGAGAAGGCTGGAGCCCAGCTCTATGGCTTTCAGGACTATGCCATTTGTGTTCGCCATATACTCTCTCCAATACTTTAACATGAGTTGGGTTGTGACCATGAATATCTTTTGTCATGGTCATTGACAAAATAGAAGTTCATTGGTTAATGTGCACAGAGTGTATCAAAAGAAAGGTCAAATTAAAAAACAAACAAGTAAATAATAAATAAAAAACAAATCTCCCACACTTCTTTTACAAAAAGGCTAAATTCCAAATTTGCTGACTTCTATAATGATAAGTGAATTTCAGAAATGTGTTATTTGGCAAATACTTTTAAAACTACAGGGACAGGTACACTTACAGCACTCATTGTACATTATGTTCTTTGCTGTATTAACCTATTTAATCCTTAAAATGACCTTACAGACAGAAAGTATTGTTATTATTATTCCCATTTTACAGATCAACAAACTGAGGCATAGAGAGTTTAAGTAATTTCCCAGGCAACACAGCTGACAAATGGCAACACGGATGTCAGGCCAGCGGGTTTACCAGCAACCACTCCATGCTACAGTCCTACTCAACATTAACACATTGAATCTGTTCCCTTATGTCAAACAATGTTGATAAATTCTTATTTAAGAAATTGTTTAATAGACTTATTTTTAGAGCAGTTTTAGGTTTACAGCAAAATTTGAGCATGAAATACAGGGAATTCTCATAGATCCCCTGTCTCCACAGGTGTATAGCCGCCTCTCCCCCCACCCCCACTGTTAGAGTTGATGAACCTAACTTGACCCATCATTACCCAAACTCCATAGCTGACACTAGAGTTTACTCTTGGAATTGTACATTCTATAGGTTTTGATTAATGTATAATGACTTCTACCCACCATTACAGAGTCACATAGGGTATTTTCACTGCATTAAAGATCCTTTGTCTTCTACCTATTCATCTCTCTTTCCCCCATAGATGATTTTTGAAAGAAATCATCTTAAAAATCTTAAAAAATAGGTGATTGCATGGTTTCATTATTTTATGATTTTTCATTGAAAGTGCTCTAAATGGGGCCTCCATGGTGGCACAAGGGGTTAAGCACAGCATTGTGAAGCTATCTGCAGCCTCTGCAGCGCTTGATCCCTGGTCAGTTAGGGAGCTACCCACATGGCACAGCAGACCCCTCCTTCTCACCTGCTGCTCCCCTCAGCAGTGTATTGCAGTACATCTGCCTGTTCTGCTCCCAACTGTCTCTGGTGAATCCTCTAACCCCCACACCCCTGGCCTCTACCCCAGTTCTTGTATGCCTAAATAAATAAATAAATCTTTTAAAAAAAAGGAAAATGCTCTAAATGCTAGCTAAAATTTATTTTATTTATATGTGAGAGTTTGCTCACATTTATACACATAAAAACCATAGATCCTAATCTGTGTAGATATGTTCCAAAAAACAATTTAAATGCATTTTGAAATCTCTTGATAAAAGATATAAATACAATATCTTCTGATTGCATTGAAAGAATAATTGACAAATCTCAGCAGGGGTGTGGGGAATTTAAAAGTGTAATTTCACAAAAATGACTACTTAGTTGATTGGCAGTATTAAAAAAATAAAAGTTCTGATTTATTCAACACACCAACAATGAACATCTATTGAGCAGCCACATCTTTCTGAGTCATCTTTCATATAGGAGAAATAACAGCAGGAGATATAGAAGACAAAGATAGAAATAAGAGGCAAAAGAAATGGAGGCAAGAAAGAAAATCAGACTGTAAGTGGGGCAACTTTTTCATTTATTTAGTGATAGAGTAGTAGTGTGAGTGGGAAGTTTGTCAGGGTTTACGTATTGTGTGAAATAACATTATCCTGGAGAACATGGTATTTTCAAACAGAATACCAAAAACATTTCTAAGAGAAAAAGTAAATTTTTGGCCAAATTTTTCTAACTGCTAATACAGAAAATAGTAGGAGTCATCTTTTTGGAATCTTCCTCAATCCTTGTATTATTCTGCTGAATTCCTAGTCTAAGCAAATGTAGTGTGGGTCACATGCTCTAGGCTTGGCAGAAGGAGCGACTCACAGTTCCAGAAGGGGGCTGTCTGCCAATGGTTGTTGTCGTGTGTGAAGCAGGTGAGGCCAGGGAGGCTGCACTCCTCTCCCTTCCGCTGGCGTTTCTTCTCCTTTCTCTCCTTCTTCCTCCTGCGGTTCTCCTTGAAAAGTTGCAGTTTACTGTCTACCTCTTGAGCAGCTTCCCTGTTCCAACAGAAGGGATTTAAAAAAAAAATTAATCCTTTTCATTGAAGTTACATTGTGTCATAATATTACATTTTTTTCAGGTGTGCATCATGATAAACCAACACTTGTATTTTCAATGATCAGAAAATCCTTTCTGGGCCTCCCGGGTGGTGCAGCGGGTTGAGTGCAGCATTATGAAGCTGTCTGCAGCCTCTGCAGTGGGAGTTTGAGTCCCGACCGGCCAGGGAGGTACCCACATGGTGCGGCAGACCTCTTCTGTCTCGCCCGCTGCTCCCCTCAGCAGTGCCTTTGGTCCGTCTGCCTGTTCTGCTCCACTCTCTGACTCTGGTGAATCCTCTCACCCTCCCACACTTCTGGACTGTACCCTAGTTCTTGTATAAATAAATAAATCTTTTTTTTAAAAAAGAAAATCCTTTCTCAATTAAAAATAGGATTATTATGACTCACACACAAATGTTTGGACACATGATAACAGGTACACAACAATAGATGACGTTTATTTTTCAGAGAGGGCCTCAAAGGGTAATCCACAGCAGTAAAGAGGAAGTCATTAAGTGACAACCCTCTTAGAATTTCACTAGCTTTTATAGGATCACTTTTTTCTTTCTTATTTACAAACAAAAACCAATAGAAGTAAATGTCAATGTGAATCCACAGGTCCTGGCAGCCACACCTTTTGGATAAATGGCTAAAACTAAACCACTTCCTTGTGGTTTAGTAACTTTCAGTCAAAGTCAAAGCCAGTTGGATTACCTGACTTGGATCAGGTTACTAAAATTCTTTGAAATTTCCTAAGCAATAGGCTTGGAAAGACTTTTTTTTTTTAAATTTCTAGTTTTTTTCTATAAAGGACTCACATTTTATTGAAGCTCAAATACTAAATTCCCTTTCCATGAAAAGTTTTCTACTATTTTTTAAAAAAATCTATATTTCTTTTCACTTTAAGTAATCATCCAATATGGTTGCATGCCCCTCTGTAGAACACATGGGCCTAATCAGAGAAGTCTATAGAAAGCAGTACATGGAGTAAAATCTAGCTATGTTCCATACATCAACAGATAGCTCATGCAGAATTAGAATAGGACTCTGCATGGCAACCCCTCAAAGGATTCCAGGGTCTCTTGGCAGGTTTTGTCTTGCTCAATATGCCCTAGTTGAATCTACTTTTTCCAAGCAGCACCACTTGGAACACAGCAGTCCCTGCAGCTTTTCTGATGTGGCCAGTGGACAGTCCTGACTCCAAGCAAATGTGGAAAACAGAATTACTTACTTGAATGGGTGAAGATGGCTCTTTAATTTCTCTTGCTTTTTTACACCTTTCTCTTTGTTGTAATAACTGCAGTCAAGAAGATTTAAAAAGTGAGTTGTCAACAGAAATGAATGGAAGCATCCAGAGGGGGAGAGGAAAGGGAAGGGTGAGGACAAAGAGGGAAGGAAGCATAATGGGCTATTGGAGGTGCAAGCACCCTGGTGGCGATACCTGATGGGGGTATCCAAATATCACTGCCATTAAAATTAAATAAAGTGAATCTTCATAATCATGCATTTGATCAAACAGTTCATTTTATAAAAAGAAAGTAAAGCAGAAGACTCAGAAACTAAACATTCTAAAGGAGGACTGTGGCTTGAGGCTCTATCTTAGCCTAATGGCACTATTTTTTTTTTTAAAGAATATATTTTATTTTATTTTATTTATTTATTTTTTTAATAATAAATTTTATTTTTATATTCCCCCATACAATTGCAAATGCCCCATTCTGACTCCAATCCCTCCCCTCCCGGCCCCCACCCCCCAAAAAGTGTCTCTGGTTCATAGTTTTTTGTTGATTTTGATTTTCACTTTCTTATAGTTATTCATTTTCCTGGTCCCTTATTTAAGTTTTCTAGATTCCTGCTATGAGTGAGACCATCCGGTATTTTTCTTTTTCTTTTTGGCTTATTTCGCTGAGCATGATCCCTTCCAGCGCCATCCATGTTGCTGCAAATTGCATGTGTTTATCTTTTTTGAATGCTGAGTAATATTCCATGGTATATATGTACCACATCTTCTTGATCCAGTCATCTATTTTTGGGCATTTGGGCTGTTTCCAAAGCTTAGCTATTGTAAATAGTGCTGCTATAAACATAGGGGTGCAGGTGTTCTTTGGAATTGATGTTTCTGTGTCCTTTGGGTAAATACCTAGGAGTGGAATTGCTGGATCATATGGAAGCTCTATGTTTATTAGGTCCAGAAATCTCCACACAGCTCTCCATAGTGGTTGGACCAGTTTGCACTCCCACCAACAGTGTAAAAGAGTTCCTTTTTCTCCACAACCTCGCCAACATTTGTTGTTGCTAGTTTTTTTAATATGTGCCTAAACTTTTTCACTTTTCTACTTAGGCTCATGATATGTGTAGTTTGACCTAAACAGTTTAGGTCTTCATAATTTACGATAATGCGTTCAATTAATTAAACTGTCTACTGGTTAAAGGAGAAGCAAGTCAAGTGCTTATCACTGTAAAAATGAGTTTGCCAAGGAGACAGTAGGAGATGCTCACCTCTGCTTACTACAGCCACATTCCTCAGGCTTTCTTCTCTTCAGATGTCCTCTCACTTCTCTTAAATTCTTAATTTTATCTTGCAGAGCTTCAATCTGGAAAACACACATTTGAACAATTCATTTGAAGATCAGGATTTTCTTTTCACCTTCTTTTCCTGAGTTTCATAATTATATTCATTCGAGATGATAACTAATTTAGAAACAACCTGGTCACAGGATATGTCTACCTTTTGTATGCCAACCGCTATGTTACAGAGAAACATTAATAGATGTCTCTTTTATAATTGAATAATTATCTCACAAAGACTTTAAAAGGTCATGAATATTCTTTTCTCATTTGATTTTGTTTATGTCAGCACTCTGTCACTGGAGAAAGATAGATAACCAGTTATTCTCCTTTTCATATAATTACAAAAAAGATGAAGTATACATGCAGCATGTCCCATGGTCAGGTCAGGGCTGGGGAGCTGTCTTTGCATCTGGAATCTACCTTGGAAACAAAGCCATGGCTAACCTCTTTATCTATGTATGCTTTGTGGTCCTTCCATGCTCTGGCTGATTGATAGAGTTCTCTCTCACAGTGGATTGTATCATTTGGAAGAATGAAGCACCTGTAAAAATAAACAGACAACAAAGCCATTTGAAAGAGTTCTGCAATCTAATACTTAAAAAAAAACATTAGAAATAGCAAAGAAACAAAATCATTCTCTCAATAAAGTCTTAATCTGGATACAAACAGTAATTTGAAGTTGAGTCATAGACTTAGTGGAAATGTCTTCTGACTACTGGCATAGGCAAAGAATGGTGTCAGAGAACACCCCTAAGATCAGTCTTCAAGGGCCCATTCAATATTCAAATCTCCATGAAAAGATACTTCCAGAAAAATCTGGTTTTGAAAGTATAAATATTGTAGGAAAAATTGAGTTTTTCACAGATATCCAAAGACTAGTCTCACAGATAAAATCTTGTTGGATTCATGGTGCCCCAACTCCTCAAATTAATGAAATGAAAGAGAAAACAAAGATCTTGCTAATAAATTCAGAAAGAAAAAGTTTCTCTATCAAGAGATTAAGGAGGTTGTGGAAGGAAATGAAGCATCAAGGTGTCCATTAAAAACTGCAGGATCATCTTTTCCCTGTCTCCATGATTCCAAGGTCCTCTGTGCTTTTGGGATCTGGACAGGTTAAGTGTTTCTGAATCTTATGCTTCCTGATAGCCTATACCATCTCTCTAGAAACTTCTCAAGCCACAGTTAACTTTCGGGCTGTGTTTCATTTCAGCCTGTGACTGTACCTGCTCTGAGCCATATACAGCTTGGGAGCCTCTACCAGTCTTGGTTATGGTTCCATCTGTTTTCTAGACTTCCACTAAGGTAACTGCTTAAGGGCAGGACTCCACGATGGCTAAGTCAAGATGTGGCAGAATCACTCTGACTAAATTCCAGGCTGATCAATCTTAATATGAAACTGAACCCAAAACACATGTCCAAATCTGTATTTTGGACTCCTTGTTGCTTCTTTAAACCCCCAGTTGTTGTGTGAGCCAGTACTGGGTCAGTGTATTGCTGAGTGATAATACGTTTTTTTAAAGGAGCAGAATGATGCTATTTGGGGGGAACATCATGAACATCGAAAGCCTTCCTACTTGTGAGTCACTCGCACAGTGGTGGGCAGGGCCACGGTGTTGCCGCTGTCTGCCAGGACTGAGTCTTCATTGCCTCCGCCGGCCGCCTGGCGACCTGGTGCCTTGTGGCCTTCATCATGACGCTTGGCAATGTTTCTGGGCTGCAACACTTGCAATTCTTCCTCTTCAAGGTTTATGTCATATATTTCACCTTCAAATTCGACTGACAAGGAACGTGTCTGCCGAGTATGGACAAATCTGGGCTTGTACTCTAGAAATAAGGGAAGCGGCATTAATTAATACAAATGTAGGGACACAATTTAGGAGAAAGGAAAACAACCACTGACTTGACAAGCATTTTTGGAAGGGCCAAGGGGAAAGTAGTGCATTATTGAGGGGCATAATGGTGCTGTTGTCAGCCCCCTGGAACTCGCTTCTCTGGCTTTATGATGGCACATCAACCAGTGTGACGAATGCCAGGTTTCTCATATGATCCCTCAAGTGATATGGGGAGTCTGGGTGACCTCCAAGATCCTTTTAACTTACAGAAAGTTGAGAATTTTTACACTGAGTTTCCAACATGAACTAGGTAGTTCTTTTGGAAAAAACTCTAAGTCCAGTGAGTGATAAGCATTTATTGAATTTTTGCTAGGAATTGATCTTGCACTTATCTCACACACAATCTTGAAAAATGGATATTATAATAAATCCTTATATTATTTTTTTCATATTGTTAAAATAGACTCATGGATTTGGTGTTATTCCTATTTTATGGATGAGAACACCAAAGATTTGAATTTTTTTTTTTTTTAAAGATTTATTTATTTATTTATACAAGAGCCGGGGTACAGGCCAGATGTGAGGGAGGGTGAGAGGATCCACCAGAGACAGAGTGGGGAACAGAGCAGGCAGAGTGATGAAACACACTGCTGAGGGGAGCAGCGGGCGCCATGTGGGACCCTTGCTGGTGGCTGGGATTGAAATGGCGCTGCAGAGGCTTCAGACAGCTTTACAGCACGGCTCTCAACAGCCTGCGCCACCAGGGGAGGCCCACCGAAGATTTGAATGTTTTGTAAATTTTGCAAGTTTATATGACTGTGGTAGCTGGGACTATAACAAATTCTAAAGTCTTCCTATGACGTTGGGCTGATATTTTCAAAAAGGTAAATGCTCCAGACACTTCTATTTTCACAAATAATAGAGGATTGCCCTAAGAAAAATTTAAATTTGCAAGTGCTTTCATTGTCCAGTTGACTTTATTATCTGGCAGATGAAGGATAAAGGTGGGGAGGCCAGCATATTATCTGGTCACTTTAGACCACTGCTAAGGCCAAAGTTTGCTAGATAAGAGCTATAACATGCAAACATTGGCTCCTGCTTATCAGATGCCCCACGGTCTGTGCATATTTTTAGTCCCTCTCCTCCAGCCTGCTTGGTAAACAGGAAGGGGAGCACATAGGCAGCTGAATGAGAATCATCCAGATGAGGAGAGGCCTCTCTGACAGCTGGTGGGAGCGCTGTCATCATGGAAAAGAAGAAACTCCTGCTCTCAAATCTATGACTCCACACGTTTTGAAAAAGTGACCCACATTTCCTAAGTTCATGCCCCACTTTGAAAAATCAACACACATATGGAGCCTCCCTGGTGGCGCAGGGGTTAAAGTCTCAGTGCTAACAAGATATCACCAGCCTCTGCAGAATGAACTCGATCCTCAGGCAGGGAGCAACCTACATGGCGCAGCAGACCTCTCCTGACTCATCTGTTGCTCCCCTCAGCAGTGTATTTCAGTCAGTCTGCCTGTTCCCCATCTTCCTCCCCCTCTGGCCTACACCTGAGTTCTTGTATGCATCTTTAAAAAATATATAGTTACGGGCCTCCTTGGTGGTGCAAGGGGTTAAGCACAGCACTGTGAAGCAATCCACAGCCTTTGCAGCACAAGTTTGATCCTGGTCCCCTGCCGGCCAGGGAGCAACCCACATGGCACAGCAGACCTCTCCTGACTCGCCCGACGTTCCCCTCAGCAGTGTATTTCAGTCAGTCTGCCTGTTCTGTTTCCCACTCTGTCTCCGGTGAATCCTCTCACCTCCCCCAGCCCCCACCCACCCTGGCCTGCACTCCAGTTCTTGTTTGCATAAATAAATAAAAATAAATCTTCAAAAAAAAAAGGAAAGAAAAATCAACACAAATAATGGTCAATGCTGTGGAGCAACATCTAACTTCCCAGGAGAAAAGAGACTCCTAGTTTCTGTTAGGAAAATGTCAGAAGTCCTTGTCCCTTCTTGCTTTTCCATTTGCTGTCCTTGTGTGAATTATTGTATTTGGTATTCCCTCTCAGAGAGGAAAGAAAGTTTCCCAAATAAAAGGTCCATTAAAAATTTGTTGAAAGTTGTGGATATCTAGATAATGTAAATGTATACAGAGAATAGTCTTAAAAAATTGGATAAAATGTTAACCAATTTGTGATCCCCTGAAGTTTATCTGTGGAGTACCAGATAAAAAAGACTGTCCTCAGGGCTTCCCTTGAGTTAGTGAACAACCATGTAGACATAGAATTAAATTTAATGTCTCTTGCTTATTTCTGATCAGTCTTGAATCGCCACAAAAATGAGTCACTTTTCTTATTATGCCACTAGATGGCATTAGACTCATTCTTTTATGGAAGGTGCCAGACTGAATTTTTATACCTATATAATCAATCTTAGGTATCATAGATGCTTGATAAGAGTTTTGATAAAGAAAATGCTGGGTAGTGCTATTTATGTTGAATTCAACTCACTTGACCCTGCCCACGGACAAGAGGAATTAGAAAACAGAATTGTGCTGAAACAGATAAATGCATTTTCAAGTTTCCTCCCCTTCGCTCCCTCCTCTTCTCCCCTCCATTCTGTCTCTGTTGCTCTCTCATACTGTCTCTCTCAGTAACTTCAAAGTAAGACAGACAAATCAGCTTATCAGCAATAAGTATAATAATAAAATTGCCCTAAACCATTCTTTTTATGTCTTTACAGCTCTTTTACGTGTATGTTTTTTTATGGTGTTTTACTGAATGCATTTCACTCCATGATTACATTAAAATGTCCACAAAGCAAATTTTCAAATTGTTTTAGTGTGCATATTTTAAACAGATCATTTGCTTTTAGTCCTGAAACTATGCATTGATGATAACAGAGAGGTAACTCTTTTGTCTGACATCCATTCCCAAAGGCCTCAGCTTGCCACTAAGGTAGACCCAGTTAATGGCTTACTTGGAGTCCCCTGGTTTCTCAGAAACTGCCTTTGACTCTTCCGCTGGCTTCTGCTGGTACGATAACCAGACTCCCCACAACTGCACTCTTTATCCTTGTCGTGGAAGTCGCGAGAATAGAGGTTTCTCGTGCTCTGCCGGACTGCGAGCAGGTCACTGGAGCCTTTACACTTGTGAATTCGAAGCTTGCCAGATGTGTCCTCAATGCACTGCCACTTCTACAAAAGGCAACGTGAAAGCGATTTACCAGTCCTGATCCAGGTGTTTCTTGTTAAGGACTGCTGCCTCAGCTTTTAGAAACACTGGCAACTCCATTAAAGCGAACACATGAAGAAAGGCAAACTTTTAAAATGTCCCTGCAAGAAGTAGACTCCCAGTTCTCTCAGTTATTTCTTTCACTGGAGGCAAATACAGATGACAAGGAAATCATTGGAAATCAGAATTACCTCAATGACACAAGAGTCAAAAATTGATACATAAATCCTCAGCATGCAGACTAAACAGTCTTGAATGAAATATGTACAAGCCCTTAACGCACCAAGCCACAGAACACAGCTGTCAGAACTGTTTTTGCTAGACCCCACTTTCTCTGGAAAAACAAATGTGGCTGCTTTGTTCTCTGCCCCTGATTTTCTAATGTGAGCCAGGAAAGAGTGGTACATGAGGAAGACAGCGATAGTTTAATCTGGCTCCACCACAGGGCGAGCCAACTTTCATACCCTCAGACATTAGCAGATGTGACAAATTTCCTTTTGTGCCTTTTCTTACCCTCCTCCAAACAATGCACACCCCACACAGCTCTGCTCTAGAGACACTGGTCACGTTCCCAATAGATGCCTAGAGAGTGGGTATCGGGTTTTCTAGTTTGTATATTCTGCCAATTCTACGGCAGATACTGCAGATTCAATCCCAGACTGAGATGACACAGCACTGGGTCTCGTGCTTCTGCATTATCACTCTGGTAGAAAGGCTACAGCTTCACCTGGGAGTTATTTCATAGACACCTCTGTATCTTACTTAAAAAATGTAATAACCTTTCTTTTACTTCCTATTTTCCTCTTTCTCCTTCCCAAAACATGTTCATTTGGAAAGCAAGAAGAATATTGACCTTAGTTTTAAGCTGACTGTGGTTGTTACAACATGCTATGATGTAGCATGTTAGGCTTCGGTCTTTTGTCTCCCCTTCCACATATAAGTATTGTGTACAATTTTTTTTTAAAGATTTATTTATTTATTTATGCAAGCACTGGGTACAGTCAGAAGCACAGGAGGGTGAGAGAATTCACCAGTGCCAGAGTGGGGAGCAGAACAGGCAGAAAGACTAAATACACTGCTGAGGGGAGCAGCGGGCATGGCAGGAGAGGTCTGCGTGCCATATGGGACCCTTGCCGGCAGCTGGGGATCGAACCGTCACCGCAGAGGTTTTGGGCAGCTTTGCAGCCCAGTGCTCAACCACTGCGCCACTGGGGAGGCCCTGTGTACAATTATTTATAAATACTTTTCTTTAAATGGACACATTTATAAACTGGCTAAAGCAAGGCTGTGCTAGTTTACATATTTTCAAATACATACTAAAATTTAAAAAACTGTTAAATAAAAGATGTTCTTTCATACATCATGTAAAATGATTTTACACAACCTGACATTGTTCGTGTACCATACTTTGGGTGACACTGTGATTTCAGACTCTCCTAATGCAAGGTCAAGTTTGACCAGTGGTCTCAGCAGAAAGTGACATTTGTGTACTAAATGGTGCACAATAGACCAAGAGGCAGAGCCAAGGTTTGCTTTTTCTTACATTCACATGCCTTCAATAAATGTTGATTTATGAGAACTGCGTTTGAGCTTCCACTTTATAATTCCCAAATTCAAGATACATAGACTTGTTCTAGGATTGCACTTTAGCTGCCACATATTCTTTCCCATGAGAAGGGAAAACGCATATATTTATGCATTATATTTATCAGATTGATGAGCCTTGCAGGGAATGTATGTATTTATGGGTGTGGGTGGGAAAAGGAAACTGTGTCCAGAAATGTACTGATGAAACCAGGTCACAAAATGATTCCATTTGAACAAATGAGTACTGCCAGTAGGACAATGTCGCTCTACCGAAGAGTGGCCAATGCTTTTCACTCTCTCTCCATAGTCAGCTGACAAGTGACAGAATTGAGTTTTCATACACTTAGCTGGTGGGGTTTGTGGCACGGTCAGATATGTCCAATTAGCTAGAGGGAGTGCCATGAAATTCTCAAAAAAGTTCTTCATATTAAGAAATAGTTATATACCATAGCACATTTTTGCTGGTGAAAGTGTCACTAAATATGTGATGACCTTCCATAGCCTGAAAGGTTGGGAATCAGTGGTGCTTGAATGTCTGTCTAGATCTGTACCTATTAACACCAAATAGTTTTTACTTATCCATCCACTTGGGTAATCTCTTCCTTAAGCATCCAAAAACTAAGTATGACTTAATGCCAATTATAGCTAAAGAAGAGACAAGTGGATTCACAATTGATGGTCAAGTAGAAACTGTGCTCTAATTGTTTCTATCAAACAGAACAGTTAGGCTGACTTTATTCCTGAAAATAATGGCCTTCTGTCTTTTTGTGGATCCAATTTACATCAACTTTAGCACAAAGACAAGGCAAATACCTTCACTCTGACAGTGGATGCTTCCTTAGTTTTATGAGAACAATGCATTAAAAATTCTGCCTGTGGGGCAGGTTTTTTTTTTTTTTTTTTTTTTTTTTTTTGCCTGACACAGCTGTGGGTACAAGTAGATTCCTGTAGAACACAAAAGTGAAGCCAGAATTTTTAGTGACATAGCCTATTTGGAATTCAACCTGCTTTTCTCCATTAACCAAACTTCTTGTTGATTTTCTATGGGATAGAGATGAAGGGAAAGGATGCTTCTTTCCTGAAGCACTAAACATAACCACACCTGAGGTCTGGCGCTATCCTGGGCATGGAGGATGTGTCACACAAAATCAAATATACATATGCATGTATATGTACATATGTGCACACACACACCTACATACACTATATGCATATGTGTGTGTGTACCTTCACACATTCTTGTGTAAAATAAGAGCCACTGACACAAATACCAATTATTTTCTATACCGTGACCCCTTTGAACAAGTCATAAACCCTATCAGAGAGAGTAATTAGGCAGCGGTTGTGAAATCTTCTTAGTGGCCAGCACACTAGGAATTTTAATGAAACATAATTACCACACATTTGCCAGAGTCATTTTAATGTTCAGTGTCATGAATATCATGATATTTTTTATGGCTGATCAATAAAACCTTAAAATGGCTACAGCTAAAATGGTCATCGAAGAAGATGTGAAGAAAGATAATTTTTGAAAGAATTTCTCTGAAACTCATGCTGCAAGTCACTTAAATGGTGGAAATAATGAGATGATTTTTCATTGCAGAGCACTTTCAGTCATCAGAGGAAAGTGTGGGCTTGGGGGTGAGGCACCTGCTAGGGGAGCCTGGAATCAGTCTCAGAAGGAAGTTTTGTTAAGCAAGTACCCTTGAAAAAATGTGAATGTCACACAGTCTCCTTTTATTTACACTCTTCAAATTCATCAACAAATCAGTGAATTGCCAAATCTGTCTACATTTTCTGCGAGGACTCACTATTCCTTCAAATTCCCTTCCTGCTTTCTGGAAAAATATCACTTCAATTCTTCTGCTGCCTCTCTGCCATATTAGTCTGCACTCATAATTTAGCACACATTTATTCCACAAATATTTCTGTACACCTACAAAAAGTAGGTGAAGTGGTAGATAAATTATTTAAGTAATTGTTAAGTTATTAATCTATTCAGATAATTTCGTATTTCATTTCCTCTACACCAAAATTTGGAATCAGGGGCAATGTCATACACTGAGTTGCTCCCTGAAGTTAGCTCAGAATCTAACTACCCTGTTGGCTATTCTGTCTTAGTGTCTTTGGTTGATTATATATACCTGTTATCAATAACACCTGATAAAGAAGAGAAGTTGGTTATTTTGGTACTAGGATTTATGTGCACAGCTAATTTGGTGGAATCAAATCGAATGAAAAAGTATGTTGAATGTTCTTCAAACAATTCCATTTACTGCCACCTTTACTGCTATTGTCATCATCCATTGAACTTTTACTTGATGCCAGGTTCTAGGGTTATATGGCAGGATTATGTAAATTTATCCATCTAATCTTCACAACAACCTAAAGTGCTACCATAATACACTTATTGGAGTAGGATTTTGTAGTAGTTAATATCACCTGTGATTTGGGAATGACATGTTATACCCATATTGATGTGGCTTGGTGGAAAGAGACTAGTTTTTCAAATTAGAAAAGCCTGTATTTGAATATCAGCTCATTGTTTTGTGCTCATAAGAAAGGGAGCTGCAAAATTTAAGTGTTTGCAGGCTCACAGGTATCTAAGATAACATGCAGAAGAACTTAGCACATAGACACTTCAACAAAGAAGTTTCTATTACCACTACGACTAGAGCTACTGCTTCTACTATGACTAATACTCTTATCACACACACACACACACACACACACACATACATACTTATTATTTAAAGAGTTGCATCTAAAGACACACTACTGGGTGGGTGGGGGGAGAAGGGAGTAGGATCAAAACAAGGGGGTGTGGGAATTGTATGGGGACTATAAACAAGATGAAAATGCATACATTGTGCAAAAATGATCTAAAAATATATAAAATAAATTAAAAAAAGGATTGCATCTAATGTTAAGCTTAATCTGAGGAGGCCATTTTTAATGGAGATTATTATTGGGTTAGGGATATGAAGACCTTAATTTTAATTTTCTTTTGCTGTTATGTTTTTGAGCAAACTGCAGAATCTCTTTGTTCTCCCAGATTCTATATCTGGTCAAATAATACTTGCTTCTCTTGGCCTCAAGGTACTATCATGGGAATAAACTGTGGAGTGTTTGGAAGTTCTGAGGAAAAGATGCACTATAGGAAGGTAGAGCAGTACTACTAAAGTTGGCCTTTCAAATGGTCCCCCAGCCCTTGGGAAAGTAGTGTTTCCTGCTGTAAATCATACATAATGTAGCATCATCGTTTAGTGGGGAAAGTATAACTTTCAATCACACAAATCTCATTTTAAACTCAGACTTGTCATCCTTCTAAGCTGTGTGACTTTGTGGTCAAGTTACTTTCCCCTTTAACCTTCAG